GTGAGCCAATCAGTTACCACAGAGAGGGTCGCAGGATAGCGACCTCCCTTCCACCTGCCTCGTACCCCAGATTCAGGAGCGCTCACAGCCAATCACCGAGCCCCTCGCTCCGATAGTGGGCGGGGCTTCAGAACCTAACGGGAAACCCTCCCCAAAGTATTACATTACGAAGCTTTGGCTCACAGGGGATTTTAAAATTGAGGACACGTTCTGTTGGCCTCTCGGGTTGTCATGTACTGTTACTCGTCGCGCCGCAGCTAGACTGGGTCGGCTGATAGCAGCTCGAAGAGAGGGATAGCGCCTCTTCAGGCTGCTGCGATCCGGTCGGCTGTGGGGCCTGTGATGGAGTGCTGAGCATGAGCTATCCTCTGAGTTATGGCACGAAGGCAGAGAGAGAGACAGGCAGAAACGGAGAGAAAGGGGCAGACAGATTGAGAAAGACAGAGCAGCAAAGAGAGACAGACAAACAAAAAAAGAGAGACAGACGGAACAAAACAAAAGTAACAAATAGACAGAAGCGAAAACAACACACACACAACGTGTAGCTGAGTGACATGGAGGAGAGGGAGGGGCAGGGGAGGACGGGCGGGAGGGTCGGGAGGGGAAGAGGGTGGGCGCATATATATAGGGAGGCATGAGCAGCATGCAATATATAAGATGTAGAGTATTAGTAGTAGCTATATATATATATATATAAGTAGAGGTGGATATTATATATATATAGATATACTAGTGATACTAGGGGGAGTTAGGAGACTAAATTATAATAATATATTAATAGTGAGTGAGCACACAACACACACACACACACACACACACATAGTCACACACACAGCACAGTATATTTATATAATAATAGGTAATAATATATATCAATATATATATATATATATAGGAGTTAACTTCATAGAGATAGGGGCGCTAGAGAGTATAAGGGGGAGTAGTATAGTAATAGCTGTGAATACAGTAGTAGGAGATAGTATATACTATATATAATATAGGGGGGTGAAGGAGGAGGGGGGGGTGGTAGCGGATCTTGTATGTAATGTATGGCTTAATTTATATATAATTATATATGTATTAATATATTAATAATACTAATATGATACACACAGAGCATCACATATTATACGCACATACCACATCGCACAATAACTAGGAGCTACACTACTTCCATAGACATTACCTTAACCTTATCTCATACTTTAAAGAAGGAATATTTAAATGACTTCAAATACCCCTTGAATTTTATGGGCACCTTTAACTTAAGGTCTAATGTTCAGATTGGAATTTCAACCTGGACAGCTTTTTTTTTTCATCATATCTTCTCATTTTTTTTCTCATACCGACATTCTCCCTCGCTTCCACACCCTCCGTCTTCTTCCGTCTGCCGGCCGCCCTTCACACAGAAGCCTCTCAGGAAGCCACGAGCATCGACAAACCCCACAAAGCAAGAAAGCTTCTAATTACATCAAATTTATCTCGTATTCGAATGATGATGGTAAGATTCCGCGTTTGTGGATCTGTTTTCAAGCTCCCTCTGAGGTGTCTTGAACTATGCGAATTTCACACTTCGCAGTCATAATATGCGTTATATTCCATACTATATATATATAGTATATATATTTTATATGAATTATATATTATATATATATATATTATATACTATAATACTTATTAATATATACTATATATGGTATTATAGTATTTATTAATCTGACATATTAATATATATATATAATATATATATATATAGGCATATGAATTTTAAATATATATTATATATTATATATATATATTAATATTTAATTATGTTATATATATGTAATATATACTATATAGTTCTATATAGGATTATATATATATATATACTATGATATATATATATATATATATATATGTAGGTGGTAGTGTATGGATGTTGTGTGTGTGTTGGTGTGTGTGTGTGTGTGTGTGTGTGTGTGCTGTGTGATGAGTGTGTTGTGTGTGTGTGTGTGTGTAGCGTTGTGCAGGTGGTGATTGTAGTGTGGTACACGAGACACACCACACACACACGACACACACATATAATATTATATTAGTTAATTTAATTTAAATTTATATGTATATATAGGGGATTATTTTTTTTATTTGTATAAATATATTTTAGGGTATTATAGGTACTGGTTATATTATATATATACCATTTGTAACATTATTATATTTTTTTCCACACAAGCACACACACAACACACAGACACACCACACACACACACACACACACACACACACACACACACACACACACACACACACACAACCACCACACACACACACACACACACACATATATATATATATTTATTATATATATAATATATATATATATATATATATATATATATATATATATATATATAATATATATATATATATAATATATATATATATTATATATATATATAAATATATATTATATAAGTAATTATAGATGTAATCAGACTAAAAGAAAGTACGAACT